AAAAGTTCGCGGACAAGTTCTATTATAGGCGCGCTATTTCTACGAAACCGGTCAAACTTTCCAGATAAAATCTTAATCTATTTTCCAATAAATATACAAAAATTTGGTGCTCTCCAGTGATCATTGAAAAATATACAGCTATTTTATTTTGATTAAACGTGCTTCACGGAGCATGCTACATTTTGGCACTTTAACATTACAATTACTCTAAATGTTATCAAAATCAAAAATTGCACAATTATAGCGGAAATAGATTTATGATGTTTTACCTGTCGCTAGAGTATTCATAAAACATCACTGAGAGAAATTTTGAATTAAATTGGAGGGTATATGACTGTTTTATAGCCATTTATAAATGAACATTGCGTAAAAACACAGCCAAAAATCGAACGTCGTCAAGCGTCATGGAGCACTACACTACATCAAAATTATGTGTGCAGACAGGAAAATGTCTAAAAAGAGTCTAAAATGTTCAAGATGCTGCCGGGAATTTCCTTCTCATACAAAAGACAAAGTTTTCAAATGGTTGTAGCTTTATTAGAATGGAAGGATTAACATTTTGAATGATTAACCCCATCTATACCTCAATACTCCCCTATTATCGCATGGACTTTAATTTGCGTCTATATGGCTTTGCATAGTTTCCATACCTGATTGATTAACTGTATATATTTTTTTAAAGATCTCAATAATATACGAATCAGTATACAAAAGACATAACAGTAGAAAATATTGATGTCTTGATATAGATATTCAATTTTAAAGTAGAAAAAAAGATAGGAAAAATCTGAAGAAATAAAAGATTTATAGAACTGCGACAAAGCTTAACGGGTTGAAATCTGGTTGTCATGTCACTAACGTGTCAAGTGATTACTCCATGAATCATATGAACTCATAGTAAAAATCGCTGTAAATTTCCAAGATTTAATCAGTAAATGGACCTGATTTTTTTACGAACTAATCAACAAAATGTAGCAATTCATTCAGACATAGGTGACACTTCACAGTACACAATATATTTTTCGTAATTCAATGTGTCCGCGAATTTTTCCAACACCCCTCGTACGTACTTGTGTCATCCTCACATTAAATACAAACTGTTTTTGTCATTTCAGTAGAATGTTGTGTTTTATCATGTCAGCTTCAGTGACATGTGTGTTTAGTCATTATGATTCTGTATTTATACCACATTTCTTTTTTCTATCCCGTGTCTTTTTATTGACTTACTTGACTTATTCCTGTTCGCTCCTTGGGGAGCATAATTATAAGGTGTCGCAACCACTCCGCCATCGGGCTCTCATTTTAACTGGGTCCATGTAAAACTTGACTCTTTTGTCCCCATTTCCACGAACCTTCTTGGGGTTTACCTGCTGGGTCTCACAACCCCATTCTTTCTTTGTGGATTTCAGCCCAGAGCCTGTTTTGTTATGTCGTTTGAGGGGTGACCTATCCAGCCCCATTTTCTTTACTTTATGTCAATATCTATGGGATTTTGGTTGGTTCTCTCCCATAGGCAGTTGCAGCTGTTTGTATGGCGTAACACCATCTGATGTTAAGAATTTGGTGGAGACATTTATTGAATGATAATGGTGTGGTTTATTGTTTTAATTACCTTACAGGTTTCCGAACTATGAAGAATATGGAGATAACGAAGTATCTAAAATGCTAGTATTTAATATCAAAGTTCATAAAACAATACAAAATAGGAGCAGAGCAAACTCGGACCCCAAAACATCAAAGGTGGGATCAAGTGCATGGAGGAGTGAGCATCCCCTGCCGACCGGCCGTGTGCTCCTTATCATGATCTTGAAATAACGGGAAAATCCGTCGTCAATTCAGTGTATTAATAAAAGACTAACAATTAGTATGAAAGAAGTCAGTCAGCATTTGAGTCAATGATATATAAATTTTTTTGCTGACGTCATTGTATCGAACAAAGAACTTACGAATTGATGACTTTAAACGAGACTGTTAATATTCTTGTTTCATCAACTTTTTTGTAAAAAAAATAACCTCGTTTTAGAAATTGTTCATACGAAGAACATGCTCTTGCGAATCGAATCAACTGAGAGATGTTAACTCCATGCAGATGAAGGTAAATAAATTCAAAGTCGCAGAAACATTTGCATGCCATAAGAAAATTTGTAAATTAACGTCTTTATCAAGTAAAATATCTAAATATGAATCAGAGGCTCTGCGATATCTTTTATCTCAAGCTAACCGGGATATACCGTATCGACATAAGAATGGAAGTTACCATTGTTAATTTTCAATACGTCGTTGATATATCTAAATGTCGAGTTGAGGGCCATAGCAATTTTTTTTTCTGTCACGTTTAACAGTTTGGACAAATTCTGATTCATTTGAATAAATAATAGGCCTGCTAATAACGTGCGTGATTGCTACCCATTGGAATTCCAATAAATTGTTGGAAAACTTTGTCTCGAAAAACCACATAGATATTGTAAATCAGAAAATCAAATATCTTTTTGATCTCAAAATCAGATCTAGAGCACCTTTGTGTACAATCAGAATGCTTTTTAACAAAATAATTTTATGAATTACTAATGACAAGGTAAGTAAAGAATGGAGGCGTACAAGGCGATGACAATCCCCCGCTCTTAAAAAAGACTTTTCTCAATTCTAAAAGATATTTTTCAAAATTATATGGATTGTTTCATCTTTTACACATTGAATTCTGTATTTCGTTGTTTTAATATTTTATTAATCATTTATTTTTCACTCATGTTTTTACGATATGTGAAAACAAAAAAGAAAAAGCTTAACTATGATTCAAACTCTTTCTATAGCGCAGGGTTTTGTCCAAGACCGGCCGCTTTAACAAATACGCTAAAAAGTATTATGCATTATCGACGTCTGTCAGTGTGATTTATAATGAACGGATTTGTTGAAGCGTATATTTTTTTCAAAAATTTTCGATTTTCGTAAAGAGTGGGTTCAGATTCCATTTTTTGGACAAATGAATTAAATAGATTTCACATTTACGTTTCCATCATTTAAGCGTTAGCGAAGAATAGAAACTTGACCCATTCATGTTCAAAATTCATTTTTTATAGCTCTAGTAAACCCATTTTCCACTAAATATGCTTAACTGTCAACTTTGAAATAAAGATTATGAAATGATAAATCGTTCACTTTGATAGAATAATAAAAAAAATTTTGAAGATGACACTACTGAGATCATAATTTAAAAAAAATATATAACTTTTCTGTGAATTATGAAAATTGAGAAACGTTTTGTCTCAGAGCGGGGGATTGTTCACGCCTTGTACAGCTGTACGCCCTCTTTCTTTACAAGTTCCATTTTTATTGAAAAAGCAGCTGTCCATGATATCTAAAAAAAGGGACTTTAATTTATCGTGTGGAATGGTTTTGTATAAAGTTGAAAAGTTGTAAGTTTTTACACTGTTGGTTTTGGTAAAACCTTATTTCAAATTGTCCAAAAGTTACTCGGAATTTTTAAGTATCCACCTATCTGACTAACGCCACTTTTTGAACATATTTTGTTGCACAGTACTCTTGAAATTTTTCCTTCACTACTGTTAATATCTTAGTAAGGAGTAGAGAAAGAGGCTTGGTTTAGCACTATACTGGATCCCGCTATGTACCATTGCATTGTTTGTAAGGATTTTAATGAAGTTTCGGCATCCAATATAGACATGATAGTTCAAATTCATTTTGGTTCTTTGGGATGTTAAAAATTTGAAGAATTTCTTTCTTAGAAAGGGGAGTACGAGTACAAGTTGGATTACCATTTGTAGAATTAAATCCAAGATCTTCTAAAATACAATTCATATAATGGCCTTACAAATAAATGATAAAAAAACTTGTATTCAATGTTTCCCGAAGTGAAGAGTTAATCTCGAAATTCGACCAGAATTGAAGAAATTCGAAAAAATGCCCTATACTTCTGCACCCTGTTATGACCTCCAAGTTAGCTTTGTATCAAACTTAGTGTTGGTTTTAATACAAACATCATTTTAAATTCTTAAAGTTCTAGAATCTATCACAATTTTAACTGTTCTGATTTTTACATCAAATTAGGAGCCAGATTCAGCAGTTACCATACCTTGTCCTTTACAAGTTTCATTTTAAAAAAAAGCAGCCACATGAAATGATGTCAAAAAGCCTGAACTCTGATTTACACTGGGAAATGGTTGTATCTGTACACTGAAGAAAAACGTCTACCTGACATTTTTTAAGTTTTAAAGAACACATGCAAGCAATGGTAATTTCTTCCATTCATGGTTAATGATGCATATTTCATTCAATGTTGCATAAATTTCATGCAATTTTCTCGTCATATTTTAAAGCAAAGTCTAAGGGTCATGATGTACCCTCAAACTGAAAATTAACATAAAAAAATCTCCAAGGTGTAAGACCACCACTCACTCTAATTACTTCAAGACATCCTTTTCTCATGGATACCATGTGCCCCTGAATAGAAAATTGACCCATCTGCTGCCACACCTACTGCATGGATCTCTCTAAACCACTGAAACTGTGTGGAGGAGGGAGGCTGCGAAATTCCTCACATCATCACCCAGATGCCTTTTGATCATAATCCTTGGGCGTTTAGTAAGTGTACCTCTTTGAGGCTGATTTAGACAGTATAAGATTACATTGGACTGCCATGGGCACCATTTTCTTACCATGAAGTTGTTTGTTTAAATGTTCCTAAATTATTTCAGAACAAAGTAATAACAATCCTTTAATCTGGTTGTGACATGAAACCCTGGCCTCAGACGAAGATCCAGATCACTTCCGGTTTGGTTAAATTTTGTCCAAAGCTTTCAAAATGTGATTAGATGACGATGAAATTGACACAAATCCTACAGAAAAATGTGTTTAAATGATTTTCACAATGATTGTTAATTTTTTAAAAGTAATATCAAGGACTAATAAACACTTAAAAAAAAGGTTAAAGTTTTGTAAGGTCTTGCGTTTGCCTTTTCAGCAAACAAGGTCTGACTGTCAAATATAAGTAATCATTTTATTTGTAATGAGCAAACAAAAAGGTTTGATGATGCTGCTTGCAAAAGATGACAATGGCTTCTGAAAAACACCTAATTCTGGCAGTAAATATAAAAAGTCCCACAAAAAAGGACAAATTGCCAATGTTAAAAGATTAATGTAATGTAATTTGCAGCACTTAATAACACATCTTGTACAGAAGCATACACTAGTACATCAATATTGTAGTCCGTCTTTTCTCCCAGAGTTGATGCTTGTATAACACTGTCCTGAATACAAGTTACTATATAAAGTGCTATGCTATATAGCTGTATTCATCAGAAGAATTAGCTGTCCTTTCTAAATAAGATTTGTCAATCAGCGATTCAATGCACTTTTTGATCATTGGTATACTTGGAGCGAATCTTGCTCGTGACTGGCTTATCACCTGCAAAGAAAATATTACAACTTTATAAAATGCTAACGGAGTGTTTTGTGCAATGTGTTCATTTCATTAAAAAAAAATATTTATTGTCCTTTCAAATTTGACATGAAGGAAACCTGGGAACCTTCATTCCACATACACATGCATTCAAAGAATGTTATGGGTATGTTTTTTTTATTTTATGGGGACTTGTATTTGGCAAATTTGGATGAATTTTTTATCAATATTCATGGAATGCAATCAAATGAAGCTTCTCTGTACATAACAATGCATGTTCATCCAATTACTGTTAGTATCATTTCAAAATTGCACCTGTCCAAATACTGTAATATCACATAATTATTTTCATTGCGTCAAATTTTTGAGGTTTGAGAAAAAAATATTGGTTTGTAGAGATTTGATTTTGTGGTTGGAAAATGTTCATTAGTAATGCACATGAAATTCTACATCTGTGGTGGTCATATAATCATGGGCTCTCCATATCTCCGAAATAACGAAAATTAAACTTCCATGAAAATTAGTGATTTCACAGTAACCCATATTGGCCAATGTTGATTGGAATAAAATGTAGTCAAACCTTGGTATCTCAAACTCAATACGACTGAAAAAAACTTAAATATTCAAAACATGGAAGGTAAAAAAATTGAAGAATAAGTGGTTGCGGACTTCCAATTCATTTTGACATATCCATGGACTTTGAGATTTCAGTGTTTGAGAATATCAAAGTTCAGCTGTTTTTAAATGTACACATACCTCTTGTATAAGCATAGCATGCTTGAGAATTTTACGAGCTTTCATTATACGGACAATGGCGGCTTGAAGGTACATTTTTCTATCTTCCTCTACTGCATTGTGGGTCTGTTCTACTTCCTGCAGGGCCAAATATAACATTCAAATTTATATTTAAAGAAAACCTTAATCATACACTAGGAGTACATTTTTTAAAATTTTGCTTGACTTTGGCAAAGAGTTGATCCTTTCCGTAATTTCTTTCCAACTTTATCAATTTATGAATTATGAAATAATGATTATTCAACAGAATAGAATAGAGAACACTTTCACATACCGAAACAACAAATGCCTCTTAAATATAATCCTTTGACAGGTATTCTTAAAAATCATATTAAAAATTTTGATTAAAAATGGTCAAAGTTATGTTGAGATGTTAATAAAAAATTTATCTCAATTTATCTTTCTCACTAACCTGCGAGGAATCTTTTTGAATTGCTGCTGTGATTTTGAATTTCGTCCTTTTGTTCGTATATCCCATATTGAGTGAAACACAACTACATGTGCTGACATCTCCCTATCAAGTACAAACAACTTAACTTATAAAAGACACTCTGATGTACGTTAATTAATAACTGGAAATAAACATCTAATGGCAATTTAATCTGAATTTACTCTTATTAAGTTTATTATTTCTGGATATATAGATACATTGAGATATAAATAAGTTTCAATTTGTTGAGGGAGAGATATTTTCATCCTGTCAGATCTACACTAAATATCCATAATATGGCTGCAACTTCACAAGGAATTTACATATTGGTTGAGATTTTACTCAAAGTGTTTAAATATTTGCACTTTTTTAGAGAGATGGATTCATCAAGACATACCTCTGTTGAGATGATTTTTGTGTCTAATAATGTCTGGAGCTGTTTGACGAGTTCCTTCTCCGGTAAGTCGGTATTTTTCTGAATTTCATGAAATGTCAGTGTATCACTACTATTGAATAACAACAGAATGGCCATGTGGAAGTTGCCCATTGTCACAAAGTAAGGCCTCTTTAAGTGATTAAACTTTAGCTCAGCTGAAAAGAGAGAATGTATTGATTGATAGTATATTGTTCAACTTTCCTCTCGAGAATTGTTCACTCATATGGAGACACCACCACTTGCTGGTGAAGAGCTGCAAATTTTGTTTTATATTTGGCACTCAGAGCCATTGAGCAGGGAGGGATCTTTTTCATGCAAGCACATAATGTAACAGGGGACCTCGGTTTATGCGGTCTCGTTAAGTCAAATACATGTAAAGTCATAGATCATAAAACTGTTTAACAAAAAAGTAACATATTGTGTATGCATTATAATAAATGCTTTTTGTTAGAAACTTAAAAATATATCAAGGCAGAATAACTGAATTTCTTCTTTTCAGGAAAAAAATTTATAAATTGAGTTATTTCCCTTTTCAGTGGTGTAGTGAGAGACCTGATGGGACAATGCCTGAGAAACTACAAATTAAAGAGCGAAAGAGAATGAGACAGATGATAAAACATTCAATACATACCTGTGCAGAAATTATGAAGCCATGTCAATTTTCTCCCACTATATTTGACATTATAGAAAGCCTCAAACTGTAAAAGAAAAACAAAATCAGTTCCTGTAGCTATTATAAAACCTCTCACCCAAATTTTACGCTATCTTAACATTTCAAACTACACCTATCACCCCAATTTAATGTTATCAACACTTCAAAATTCGAAGATCAGAAACAAGAAACTCAATCATGAACATGAGAATTCCTTGCGAGATGTGCTTCTAGATAAGAGCAAAGAGCACGTCCTGTTTAATCATTGGTTGATGGATTCAATCCCATAACCTCAGATCGCACGCATGGCATCATGTGTCCAATTAAGGAGAACAAACAGTCAGGCCCAATTATCCAATCTCTATTCTGCCCCTGAATGTTATTTTCCGTTACCATGGGAGAATTGATGCATGATATGAAAAAAAATACATAAATGGGCAAAATCTGAAGCAAACCTCTTTTCATCATAAGAAATGCATTAACTATAGTGATGTAACCGAAGTTACCGTTAAAATAATGAATGCCAAGGTAAACACTTTGGTTTTCTGGTTTAATTCTAGTTTTGTTTCCTTTTACAAAATGATTCTAGGACATTGATGTTAACTTGTTTGCTTACTTATAAATACTTATGTTTTTTTCTCTTGATATAATTAAGTTATCATCTGGTTTCAAATTTCATCACCTTTCTTTAAAACATAGGTAATCAGAGATTACAGAGCTCACCTCAACGAACGTTGTCTTTAAATAAGGCAAAGTCACACAATTAACCAACAAAAAGTGTACATTTCAAAAATAAAAATATCTAAGCAATTTTGATCTGATACTAAATTACTTTGAAATAGACCAACATAAAAAATTTAAAGTAGTTCTTCTTCATGAATATGTAATTCAGCATCTGAAGCAAATTTGAAAGTTTTCATCTCTTGATGCAACATTTGTGCAAGTTTGGTTTATACAATGTTATATAAGCCTTAAAGTTTTTTGGTAATAGACCTGCAACCATAACTTTAACCTGGTCTATTATCTGAAAATATGTCGAATTCAGCATCCGAAGCAAGTCCATTAGTGTGCATCCTAAGATGTATTATCCATGCAAGTTTGCACTTTATAAGGCTCATAGTTAATAGGAAATGAAACTTACCTCAAAAACTTACATTTTCACTCATCCACAAAAAGTAGGTCAGATTCAGCATCCGAAGCAAGCCTGGTAGTATGCATCCTAAGATGTATCATCCATGCAAGATTGGTCATTAAAGAACTCATAGTTACCTGGAAATGAAACCTGCACCAAAAACTTTTACTTGTTCACTCAACCGGAAAATGTAGGTCAGATTCAGCATCCGAAGCAAGCCCGGTAGTGTGCATCCTTAGATATATCATCCATGCAAGTTTGGTCAACATAGGGCTTAAAGTTACTTGCAAATGAAACCTGCTCCAAACACTTTAACCTGTTCACTCAACTGGAAAATGTAGGTCAGATTCAGCATCCGAAGCAAGCCCGGTAGTATTAATCCTTAGATGTATCATACATGCAAGTTTGGTCAAGATAGGGCTCATAGTTACTTGGAAATGAAACCTGCACTAAAACTTTAACCTGTTCACTCATCCAGAAAATGTAGGTCAGATTCAGCATCTGAAGCAAGCCTGGTAGTATCCATCCTTAGATGTATCATCCATGCAAGTTTGGTCAACATAGGGCTTATAGTTACTTGGAAATGAAACCTGTAGCAAAACCTTTAACCTGTTCACTCAACCGGAAAATGAAGGTCAGATTCAGCATCTGAAGCAAGCCCCGTAGTATCCATCCTTAGATGTATCATCCATGCAAGTTTGGTCAACATAGGACTTACAGATACTTGGAAATGAAACATGCACCAAAAAACTTTAACCTGTTCACTCAACCGGAAAATGTGGGTCAGATTCAGCATCCAAAGCAAGCCCAGTAGTATGCATCCTTATATGTATCATCCATGCAAGTTTGGTCAACATAGGGCTTATAGTTACTTGGAAATGAAACCTACACCAAAAACTGCACCAAAAATGTTAACCTGCTCCAAAAACATTAACCTGGTCATTCCTTTGCTAAAATTGCAGCATCTGAAACTTTGACTAGTACAATGAAACACACTAGAACCATCTTTTATGCATGTTAAATCAATATAGGACATAGAAGTACTTAAAAAGAAAACTTCTCCAAAAACCTTAACATTAACCCGGTACGCCGAAGCCCAGGATATTACATAAGCTCCCCCAACTTCGTTGAGGTGAGCTAAAAATCAACATCTACACAAAAAGTATTATGTTAATATGACAAGTTTCTTGGGACAAAAATTCTCTATTTCTTCCTTAGGAAAACGAGAATTACATGCATCTTTCTTTTACTTGTCAATGATACACATGTATATAAAAGTCTTATTTTCTTGCACTCTTGTACTCTTTGATACTCAATAAACTCTGTTATTCAAAATGTTTTCATAAGAACTGGTACATGTAGTTTATTACATGTATCATCATATATATATGGGAAATATATATCCAGTGTAAACTTTGTTCTTATACATCTTTTTTTTTTACAATATAGCAACTGATCAGAAGCAAGAGGCTCATCCTACATAAGAGAGTCCCTTGAGAGACTTGTTTCATCAGAGATTGGAAGGGGAGCCATATTGGTTTTAATCACTGGTTTATGTTGTTCTACAGAAACCTCAGTTGCACGCCAATGACATCATGCCACACCTACTTGGGCCTTAAATTGTCAGGCTCTGCCCACAAATCTGTGCTCTGCAGTTCACTCTTAATATCATGCATACATCATGTATACCATTAAAAAATAAATTTTCATTTACTCTCCCTCATTCTCTCTGGTTTTCAAAGATCTTGTTTCAATCATGAGGGAACTCAATGATTTTTTCAGATGAAAAAATACCAAGTGATAGAAGTTCCCTTCATAAGACGAAAAGGTTTTCAGGATATAAACCTTGCTTCTCTATTACCCGTCTTTCGCACTGAGCAATTTAATGTAAATTATTATTAATAATATTTAAAGCTGCACTCTCTCAAACAGAGCAAGGAACAAGTCTCTACTTCATCATTTCAAAAAATCATTAAATTATTTTTATAAATCATATACATGTATGTTGGTTTGATTGTTTCTTTGCAATTGTATGTCCCTTGTTTGCAATTGTATGTCCCTTGTTTCAAATGTAGACCACTATTTAGCCAGCAGGACAATTGAACATTGAGAGACCCTAAGCAAGTCAATGCCTGCCCTGACATGAGACCTCGGTTTTTAAGGTCTCAGGAGAAGAGAAACATTGGTTTAAGGTTGGGTTTTTTTTCAGAAAACCCCTGCCTAATGCAATAACATCATGTTGCTCTTACATGTACACATAAAGGGACTTTTAACTAGTCAGGCAATGTTGGTTGTTATCATTGGTTTGATGTTGTTAACAAAAAACCTCAGACTATGCGTAACAATGTCATCATGCTGCCCCTACATGTACAGGGGTTTTAATTAGTCAGGCAATATTGGTTGTCATCATTGGTTTTATGTAGTTTACAAACACCTCAGACAAACCCGATAATCATCATGCTGCTCCAACATGTACAGGGGCTTTAACTAGTCAGGCAATACATGTATTGGTTGTTATCATTGGTTTGATGTTGTTTACAAAAAACCTCAGAGCAACAAAAAAATGTCAACATGCTGCCCCTATGGGTTTTTAACTAGTCAGGCAATATTGTTTCTTATCATTGGTTTTGTATGGTTTACAAAAATCTTAGATACAAGCCAATGTCATCATACTGCCCCTACATGTGTTATAAATTATTAGTCAGGCAATGTTGGTCACTATTTCATCTCACATAATGTCGTTTACACAAAACCCCAGAACCTAGGCAAAAATGACATCATTCTGCCCTTTTATGGGCTTTATTTAGTCAGGCTATGTTGGTTCTAATCATTGGTTTTGTATAGTAACGTATACAGGAAAATTTTCATCCCCCTTTTATTTTTGCCCCTTTCCCCTAACCTCAGTTGGGCATATTTAAAACAGAAAAAATTTAAAGAATACAGTATAATTTCTTAAACAAAAGTGTGACTGGGTGAATTTAAGAGGGGGCAAAATTGTGAAAGGGCGAAAATAACACGGGCAGAATATAGGGCGAAATAATATAGGCCGAAAATAACCCTGTATACATTTCATCAAGTTCCTCCTTTATGCTTTAACTAGTCAGTAAATTTTGGTTCTATTCATTTGGTTTAATGTAATCGTTGTTTACAAAAACCTCAAATGGGTACGACATACCATCATTCTGCCCCTACATGGGCTATAACTACTCAGGCAATGTTGGTTCTAATCATTGGTTTCGTTTACGAATAACCTCAGTCTATTGCAATGTCATCAAACTGCAATGTCATTATACTTTCCTGTCAAATGTTATATATAACTGGTCAAGCAATGGTGGTCCTGATCATTGGTTTTGATGTTGGTTACAAAAAATCTCAGTCTGATGCAATGTCATACATGTAGGTAGATGTAAATAATAAGACATTATGTGTATTAAAATACCGAGTTTACAGTACACAGAGACTAATCTGTAAGCTGCACCAAGTGTGATGATCAGAAACACCAGACTCTATCATATTTTATACATGAGAGTCTGTGGAGAGACTTATTTCAAAGACAAGGAGGGGAGCCATATTGGTTTTAATCATCGATTATTGCTGTGCACAAAAACCTCAGTAAAAGTGCACTCCAATGACATCATGCAACACCCATTCAAGGCTTAAAATGTCAGGCTCCACCCACATATCTGTGCTCTGCAATTCACTCTCACATGTAACAAGCTTACATCATGTATACCATTAAAAAATAAATTTTTACTTTCACTCACTCATTCTCTCTGGTTTTCAAAGATCTTGTTCCAATCATGAGGGAACTTGCTCAATAATTTCTTCAGATGAAAAGTACCATGTAATAGGAGTCCCCTTCATAAGACGAAAAGGTTTTCAGGGAATAAACCTTGCTTCTCTATCACCCTTCT